GAAAAAAAAAAAAAAAGAACTTAAACCCGGCCGGGGGGGGGGGGTCAGGGAGGAGAGATTACGACTCACTGCAAGGGTGAAGAAAAGGTCTCCCTGGAGTTCCTTAAACAAAACAAAAAAAAAACAAAAAACAAAAAAACAAAAAAGGTACATCTACACTTTGGCATCCTGTTCCAAAAATGTGTTTTTTCATACATTGATATGTATGGTTTTAGGGAGCCCATTCAAATGAATGGACTGGCAACTCGCCAAAACAACTCGTATGTCGCACAGTTATTGAAGGAATTCAGCAGGGAGGTTGTGCCAAACATCTTTGAGAACGGACCACAGATCTTCTGTGGATATAGGCTGCCTCAAATCCTTCATGTAATCCCAGACAGACTCAATGATGTAGAGATCAGGGCTCTGTGGGGGCCAAACCATTACTTCCAGGCCTCATTCCTCTCTACGCTGAAGATAGCCCTTTATTGGCTGTATGCTTGGAGTCATTGACCTGCAGAATAAATTTGGGGCCAATCACACACCTCTAGGGCTGCAACAACTAAATCGACATAATCTATTATTGAAAAAGTTGTCAACTTTTTCAATCGATTAATCGGTTTCTGATTGGTTGGCCCTGTTCACGGCTCCACACACACTGCGCGCCACACTTCCTCCCCACCTCACGCTCGCCGCTGCCAGGCCCGCCCACCCGCATTCACGTTCCACACGCATCGAACATAATAATCGGCTACCTAATCAATTTTTTTAAATAATCGTTAGCTGCAGCTCTAGAAAACAAATGGTTTAATAAATATAAGATGATTTCATATAAACATGCACAGCTGCACATTGATGTGATGCTTAGCCAAAGGTGGGGAAGGGTCCACTTTAAAAATGTTAGACTTTAGCAACACTTTAAAAACAGAACATTGCACGCCAACACACATTAAAACTTGTTCACATCAACCAGCACACTAAAAAAGCAGTTTTACTAACCTGATCCCCACTCACCTGGAAGTCAGCGCTTTCCTCTTCTCCCCCCTCTGCTCTGATTGTGGACTTTCCCTTGGTGTCTTTAGGTACAATGCAGATCTATAGACTATCAGACAGAAGGGGAGAAGAGGCTGCCGGGACCAGTCTAGCAGCCCAGAGGGATCAGGTAAGAAACAGCTTGCTCCTGTCCTCTAGACATAAACCAGCAGTTAACTGTTGCAGTGCAGGGGCAGCCCCACTGGCAGGGAAGTTGTGTGTTTGGCCAGAGATAGTGTGACTCCAGCCTCCGGGTTTATGGTGTACTGTATTAATTATTAACTTACCGGAGCCTCATTCTGTCATCACACAGCACTGCTCAGGACTTTATAAACAAAGGGCACCATGCCTTTCTAAAGTCAGGACATGACCAGAGCTGGAAGGAGGAATGCTAGCTGCTGTGACCTGAAGCGATTTACACACACAGTCATCTAGTGTTCTCAGGAAGTTCATAAAGTAACCAACATTGCGTAAGCTGGAGCAGTGTCAGAACCCCCCCCCCCCCCCCCAGGGGGCTTCCCCCCGGCCCAGGCCAGGCGGGG